AGGTGTCTGGGGCCCCAAGACTAGGAATGGCGCAGGGCCCAAACTAGGAGTATAGAATGGCAGGGGGGATGGAAGGGTGAATGTGGCTTAGGGAGTCCTGGTGTGGAGAGCTGTGCTATAGACTTACCCCAAGAGGCCTGAGGATAGTAGTGCAGGCTAGGAGAGTTAGCCGGTGGTGCAGGCCCAGGGAAGCAGAGACAGGTGAGGGCGGGGCCAGAACTAGAAGCAGTGCTCCTGGGGCCCAAGAAAGGGACTGAGTTGGTCTGGGTGAGAAGGATCAGGAAGCAGTATTGGTTCCCCAGGTGTCTGGGGCCCCAAGACTAGGAATGGCACAGGTCCCAAACTAGGAGTATAGAACGGCCGGAGGGATGGAAGGGTGAATGTGGCTTAGGGAGTCCCGGCGGGGAGAGCTGTGCTCTCAGCTAGCATTTTTAAGGTGAGGCTTTTGTCATTTTTAGTTTTAGGAAGTGTCCAGCAATTATATAATAAAATGCTGCCTCTTTATTACTCTCTCTGGTCACTCCATGTTTTATTTTAGAAATATTATGGATTTATGGATAGTTTTCAAATTTTCCTTTAAAAAATAGGCTATATTATTTTGTAAACACTTTTATGTGTGTAGCATGTGTATTCACTTATATATATGTGTTCCTGTATGTGAATATGGGCATACTTGTACCACAATGTGCATGTGGAGGCCAAAGGACAACCTTTGTTGTAGGTCCTTGCCTTCCCCTTGGTTTAGAGGCAGAGTGTCTTGTTTGACACTGCTAGCTGGCACGTGAGCTTCTGGGAATTCTCCTGTCTCAGTCTTCCATCTCATAGTAATAGAGTGCTGGGACCACATCCTTATCCTTTTCTGTACTGACAATACCTAAGATCTCTTCCCTTGGCTATTTTCAGGTATACCATCTTATGTTTCCATTTTCAGATCTTCCTTCCTTGAGCTTAGCTTTCATTTTCTCCATTTTTCTCTTTATACTGCTTGCTGGGAGCTTTCCTAGGTGCAGGAGTTTTGTTTTTGTTTTGCTTTTGTTTTTTCCAATCAGGAAAGAAAGTAAAGAAAATGTAGGAAGAGAGTTTGCTGCTTGAGTAAAATCACCTAGAATCAAATGCAGCCCTGTCTGTAACTGTTCCCTGATGGCCCTGCCCCCCAGTGTCCTTCCCTTTTAATTAGCTATTAGAATGTTCTTATGTAAGCACAGTGCATTTGTGTTCACTGCAGGTAAGTTTTCCCTAGTCATGCTGTTACAAGGACTTCTGGAAGAAACTGCTTAAGATATTACCATTAGTAGATGTGAAAAACATGACCATTGAAATCTACCTGATGACTTTATATCCATGCTCAGGTGCCAAGAATCTCAGAAAGTAACCAACTATGACTAGTAATAATCAGATATATAGAGATTAGAAATGCATACACAAACATCTAAGTGTTAATTGCATTAAAAATGAAACCGTGTATTTTAATAATGAAATGGAGATCTTTCTTTTAAAGATCTTTTTTTAAGGTTAAAACCTCATTCAATTTTATGTCATAGGGTTTATACTGAGTACAATATTGTATTACTGTATTAATTCAACTGTAAACCTAAAAATTTACAGCCAATTTTGAAAGGGATGCATCTTAGCTCTGGAAATTGTTATTGACTATGTCAACGCTGTTGAAATGAAATGCTTCTTCTAATTGTGTGATTATTAAATAAATAATTTTTAAAAATGTTAGAGTCAAAGTGCATTATTTGCACTTTGTATGTATGTAAATATAATGAAACTTATTACTTTGTACAATTAATGTATGCTAATGGAAAATTTAAATACTGTTTGTATAATATCAAAGCAAAGTAAGACTCACCAGAAAAAATTTTAGTGTCAAAGTCCTAATTCTATGCTGTGTTATGAGCAAACCCCCAATTAAATCTCAGTCTCTAATGTCTTAGAAATCAGAATTAAAATTTTCAAAAACAAAAAGTGCCAAATAAGTATAAACAAACAAGTTCACATATGGTGTTGTGAGTCCATTCATAGACATGGAGTTGTTTGGGAACATGACTCCAGGGAGATTTGTTAAGGATCATCTGAACCCCATTCTGGAAAATTTAATTGAAGGACCAACCCACCATCGTCCTTATAGTTTTCACGTACCATAGGTTATAGTGATACTTGTGGGTGCTACCTGGATGGGTGAAGAAAGCAGGAAGAGCCGTGGCTCACTGTACGCAAATGTGTCATCACCATTCTCTCCGTCCAGACCAGGTACACCGTGGCCAAAGACAGCGTGGTCCAGTTCTTCTTTTACCAGCCCATCAGTCATCAGTGGAGACAAACTGAATTCTTTCCTTGCACCGTGACCTGTGGAGGAGGTGAGGCACAGACTTTTGTTCATAGACGCAAAGAGCTGAGAGTTAAGATTTACACATGTGCCTGTTTGAGATGGACTTACAGGCTGGCATAGACTCTCAGCTGTGCAGTGAAGCTGATGACCCTACATAAACCTATATTCTTAATGATACATAAAACTGAACTGGGAAAACACCTTTTACTTTTCACCAAAATCTGGAAGCATTTGCAAATGTTCTTTTTTTAAAAAAAAAAAAAAGATTGATTTATTTTCATTATTTTTAATTATGTGTCCAAATGTTTTCGTGTATGGATATGTGCACGTGTGTGCAAGTACCCATAGAGGCCAGAGACATCGGATCCCTTGGAACTGTAGTTACAGGTGGTTGTGAGTTGCCTGATGTGAGTACTGGGAACTGTATGCAGTTCTCTGGACAAGCAGTGTGTGCTCATAACTGCTGAGCCATCTCTCTAGCCCCATGTGTTATTGAACATGTGTTTTGTTTTGTTTTTTTTTTTTAACTTGAACAACAAAGAGAGAGCAACTTGCCCAATCAGATCACATCAGTGGATGGTGCTGGTTGTAGCATTAGTTCTCCAACGTATTTCTCCTTAGATGTGAGAATATTACCTAGCCAAGATGAGAAAAGGTCTCCACTAAATGACAAGGGGAACGTCCTGTCTAGGGTGTGCTTAGTTCAAGCTTCTCATAGACAGTGGAAGAAGGTTTGGGGCCAGTGTAATCCAAGGTTCCACAGGTTATCTAGCGCATCCTGGTATCCACATTTTGAGGCTCACCCTATAAAGCAGTATCTTTCTATGTCAGCTGTGTCCATAGTAACATCACCATTTTTGCCTATCTGTGCTACTAATACTCTGTTAGTCACTTAAGTTTTCTTTAAATAGGTCTTTCTTTAAAACTTTTAAACATGGGACTAGAGAGATTGCTCAGTGGTTAAGAGTGTTGGTTGCTCTTTCAGAGGACCTGGGGTCAGTTCTCAGCACCCACATGGCGACTTAACTCCAGTTCCAGGGAGGGAATCTGATGTCCTCTTCTGGCCTCCATGGGTACTGCATGCTTGTGGTGCACTTACTTACATGCAGGCCAAACTCTCATACACATAAAATAAAAATAAATAAATGCCAGGGGCTGGAGAGATGGCTCAGTGGTTAAGAATGCTAGCTTCTCTGTCAGAGTACCTGGCTTCAATTCCTGGCACCCACCATGGTAGCTAACAACTATATTTAACTCCAGGGGAATCTGATGCCCTCTTCTGATGTCCATGTGAGCATTGCACAACATGGGTGCAAATGCAGGCAATACACTCATACACATAAAATAAAAATAACAAATAAAATTTTTTTGGTCTTTTTGAAGCAGGGTCTCCCTGTAGCCCCAGCTGTCCTGGAACTCACTATGTAGACCAGGCTGGCCTTGAACTCACAGAAATCTACCTGTCTCTGCCTCCCAAGTGCTGAGACTACAGGCATGCGCCACCATGCCTGGCTTAAATAAAAATATTTTAAAAGTGAATGTTTTAAAAGCCTTAAACTTATTTACAAAAAAAGAATTTAATTTACTACCTGAAGTAGAATACAATCGTTTCTTGCTCTATAGAATACAATCACGTAAACAAATACAGAGAAAACAGAACACTGAGAGAAAATCCTTGAGTTCCTGTCAGCTCAGGCATTCTTTTGGTTTATTTTTAATTTCCGAATTTTGTCAAACATGATAAGCATTTTTTGTTTGCTTGTTTTTTTAGACAGGCTCTCATGCAGCCCAGACTAACCTCAAATTTGCTATGTAGTCAAGGATGATCTTGAAATTCTGATCCTCCTGCCTCTATCTCCCATACTTAGGAGGTACAGGAATACAGGCATGCACACAATGCCCAGTTTATGCAGGACTGGGGACTGAACCCAGGGCTGTGTGCATGCTCATCAAGTATGCTACCAACTGAGCTATATTTCTAGCCCCAAGATAAGTATTTTTTTTTAAAGACGGTCTGCTTGTATTCCCACCTGGCCTGGAACTTACCATGTATTCCAAGCTAACTCAGTCTCACAGAGATCCCCCTGCTTCTGACTCCTAGTACTAGGATTAAAGGCATGTGCCACCACAGTTGGTATAAGAGAAGCATGTTTTTATAATTTTTATTGAGCTTTTGTACATTTCATGCAACAATTCTCAATCAAATTTAGACGCCCTCCCACATCCATACCCCCAAACCCCCCACCAGGACTCATATATTCCAACATACATGTTAAGTCTTATCCAGGCAAGCATTTGTACCCAGATGTCCTTCAGTGCAAATTCATCCACTGGAGTCTAGCCAGCCTATCTAGAGATCATAAGTAAGGCATACACTTCCTCAACCAGTAGTAATCAGTCTCTAGTACTTCCCATTCTAGGGAGTGCCTGACACTCCACTCTGGGCCCTTGTCTGATTGAGTTGGCATGGGTCCTGCGCTCAATGCCACCATTGCCACAAGTTTACATGTGCAAGCTTCCAGTGACCTGAATGCCTCTGCTTCCCTGTGTTCATGAACCAGCCCTGGATCTTACAATCTTTCTGCCCCCTCTTTTGCAGTGATCCCTGAATTGTGGGTGGGTGAGATTTAACACAGGAGTCCTATCCAGGGACACACGCCCTGTAGACTCTGATTCTTTAAAACTTGGCCAGTTGTGGCCTTCTGTGTGCATCACACTCTGTTGTATAAGGATGTTTCTCTGGTGATAATTGAGGGATGCATTAGTTTTCTCTCTATCCCTCATTCCACTATGTTCCATGAGCCTTAGGTGTAGAGGTTTAACTGTAGATGTGTCACCTAGTACTGGACACCTCTTAGACATATATTATTTGTGCCTGACCAGTTCTGGAGTTCTGCAGTAGCCTCTTTCTGTTGCAAATAATAGTGTAAAGTATGTTTGTCTATAAATATAAGGATCCATATTTAGCATATGGTAAGAAATTTTATTTTTCTAGAATTATCACAGAGATAGGGTTTTCTCTAGGATCTATGTCCTCTCCAGCCATGTGTATTTGGCTGAGTTTACAGTGCCACCCATGAGTTCACTCCCATCGAGATGGTCTTAAGTTCAATTAGATAACTGTTGATTACCCCCCCACCCCCCACACACAGATAACAGTGCCACTACTGCACCAATAGTGGTAGTTTGCTGTGCTGGTCCTTGTGGTTATTAGGCTTTAGGGCTGGGTTGAACCGTTGATTGATTTTCTCCCTTAGCATATTATCATGCAGCATCATGAGAGCTAAACTTTAGGTCGAAGGCTTCCAGGTCAGTTCCTGCTCCATTGCTCCAAGTCCTGTATCCCAAGTATGTCCTATCTTCAGCAGTAGGGTCTTACCTTCTAGTTCTGGGAGATAATCAAGAGCTCTGGAAATAGCCTGTGTTATTTTAGGAGTCTCTTGGACCACTCTCACTCAAAGAGAGGTCTCTTCTGGTCTGGTACTGTGTTCCTTGTCAGACAGCCCCCAGGTGTACATATGCACTAATGTTTAGACACTGTATATGCATTTCTCAGGGAGGGGGTTGGGTGTACCACATTTCTCTCTTGGTTCCCTAGTCCCCCAAGATTCATTCATCATTACTTTTCTCCCTCCCATCTGACCTTCCTCCTCCCTCTCCCCAGTCCCAGCAACCCCATTATCTTTGAGCCTCAGTTTTTCATCTGTCACTGCAACTGTTTTCTCCTTATGGCAGTTTGTGTGGGACAATGAGATGACACATGTCAAGGAGCATGGTGTGGTGTGTGGCACTTAAGAGCTATCTGCTGTGTCAGAACCTAAACCTGAATGTGGTCCAAATGCCCCTGCGAGAAACATCCTGGCTACCCCTCCCCTCCCTGCATTGTCAGACACACTGATGTTGAGCTGCATGAAACACACATGACTCAGAGGGCACAGAGAGAGTAGAACAGGCCTGCAGATACTGTATGTTGAATTCCACTTCCTTAAGCAGGTGGATCATAGTCCCAGGGAAGCCAACAGTCTCTCATGAGTCCCAAAATGATGGACCTCAAAGAGATGGTGGATGCTTGCTTATTCTCACTCTGTGGAGAAACAGGCACCCCTTACATTATTTCTGACCTCTCACACACAGTTCTTCAGAGAAACACTTCTGTTTGGATTCATAAAGCAAAAGAGAAGCTCTCCACTCCAGGAGGGACATGGTAGGAATTTTCTAGTAGGAATTGGCTTAGATCAGTTGATTCAATTCTTGGAAGTGGGAGTTTTTTCTTTCACTCTGATGCTCAGAGAAAGGCAGTCTGTCCTTTTGGAATGTGCCCAGGGGTACCTCCCAGGGAGATCACCCTACATGGGAAGAGAGGTAGGTGGAAGACATAGAGACTTTAGGCTACTGGGGGAGGGGGATGCCTTCCCTTTCCCACACACTGGCAGGATTTCAACACATTTGTTCACAATATTGAAAGACAATCTGCCTTTCTTTGCTCTTAGTAATCTCTATGCTGCAATAAAATTAAAGAGGAAAATGAATTCTCTCCATCAAATTATAAACACCTGTATGTCCCTCGATTCATCCCTTTAGAAGCATGTTTTCATTTAGGATGAAGACTTCTTTGCCTCAAGGACCATAATCTCATGCTGTACTTGTTTTGGGGAGAAATAAAAGTACACACATAAAACCTTCAAAGAAAGCATTGCCAGATTTTAATTATATTAGTAATCAGATCCACATGATTGTGTGAATGACATTTCAGAAATTTTTGGGTAATGAGTAAAATTAGTTCGTCAGTCTCTGAGGCACCTTGGGTACTGGAAGGACTGTCTGCTCTGGTCTGTAATTATCAACACGGGACACTTGAGCTGTCTGGAGGAGGCACTGAGATTGCCACGGCCATCTGATATTGTAGCCTTCTGGCAGACACTGGCACCAAGAAACATTTTATTGATGCCATTTGGATTTTCATTCTTGCGGTTTCAACCTTGCTTTTTGTAATTCGTACCAGTCTGTCCTCTGCACTCAGCCTACGTCCAAGCCATGCCTTGTAGAAAAGCTGTCTGCTGGCTTATAAAATCAGATTCCTCTCAGCAATCAGGATTTGAAATGTATTTTTAGACCAATTGGCAGACACTAAGAGCCTAGTTTTAGTGGTTTTTATTTCTTTTATTTTTTTAGCTCATTCTAGCTTTGAAGAATTACCTTAAACACACACACACACACACACACACACACACACACACAAATATTCACTTACACAGACTCATCATGGCTTTCATGTAGTGATAGGAAACCTGAAGGCAGAGCTCTCTGAAAAGGAAAGTGTCATGTTGTGAATTATTTCCTAAATTTACAGTGCTCATCTGCTGGGAATGTTCACTTTTCTCAAGGAAAGACTGTGCAGATTGGATTTACTAAAATCAGGAGTAAGCCTTCTTAGGGATGAAGGCTTTCAAAGCCTGTGAGGCAGAGTTGATGGAGGAAGTGGGTAGATGGATTCTGCCCCTGATGCTGCTATATTCCTCAGTCAGAAAGGTTGCTGATGTTGGAGGTGCTGTGCTATACCAGGTTAGCAAATGATTAAAGGTACCCCAGGCAAACAGTGTCATATTATAAAAGAATTATTTGATCCAGCAACAACCCAGCATGAGAGCCACAAAAAAGTGGAAAATAGACCAAGATTTTAAAAATTAAAAGGTTATTAAGGCTGGGGGCATAGGTAAAGGGTAATGTACTTAACCTAGCATGATCAAGGCCCTGTGTTTGATCATCAGTACCACAAACATGTTTTCTAATGTAATCAGTTATATATGTAATCATAATCACAATATAAATATATATTCAACTGAATTCAAAACATGCACTCAAAATGACACTATGCAAGATAGTTTCATGTTTAAGGATGTATGAACAATGAATCAGAATAGGTATCTGGGGAGGGAAACAAGATTAATGGAGCAGGTATAGGAGAATAGGGATATTCAAGGGAAGAAGAGGGAGAGGTTGCCACTGTACCACAATAACAAAGGACAGACAGTAAACTAAGGGCAGTGGAGAGCAAAATTACACTGGAGGTCCAGACATTTCCTAAAAGGAGTCCACTGTAATATGCAACCAGTGGTTGGTTCAAGTATCCATGCTTGGTCACAGTTTTTAGTCATCTCAGAAGAACCTGAGACTCTTCTCCAGAAAGTCCCAATTTCCTGGACCTCAGCTGCAGTGCTTCTGGCTTAACAGGACCAGGAAAGGCCCTGGCCCTGTATATGTAACACTACCTCTGGCTTCTGTTAGACAGCCAGAGCTGAAGATCACAGAGCCAGGTTTCTTAGAGAGGAAGCAAAGCATGTGCAGGCAACCTTGCCAAGTGGATGTCAAAATGATACAGCATTCATCTTTCCCTCTAAAACCCTTTTAGGTTATCAGCTGAACTCTGCTGAATGCATGGACATTCGCCTGAAGAGGGTTGTGCCTGACCACTATTGCCATTACTACCCAGAAAATATAAAGCCCAAACCAAAGCTGAAGGAATGCAGCATGGATCCTTGCCCATCAAGGTTTGTGCAATTGCCCACACTTTTAAAAGAAACAAACCAACTCCAGTTCACACACAGTCCTTTCAGGACAATATAATTCTACTTCCATACTTTTAAACATGCCCTGATAGATCATATTTATGACAAGTAAATAGGAACTAGGACACACTTGCTGATCTAGTCCCCCCTGGTTAGTTCTCTCTTACTATGAGATCATGTATTCATAAGCTTTTTATAATGAGCCTTTATGAGCAATTCTTGCACATGCATATATTAAAGATCTCTGTATCCAAGAAGTATCTTCCAGTATTCCATGCATAGTACATCTGTCAGTCATAAAAATCTTCTGCTCACTATTTTAGACTTTAAACTGGGTCACCCATTACCACATGTTGACTTTTGAAGTGTTCACATTTAACTCCATATAAATAATGCATTATGTAAGGAAGCACAAAGTTGTAATTCCAGAACAGAAAAGCTATACAGAAACAGTCCTATTGCATAATTTACTACCTGCTGGCTTGGATTGCCTGGGTAAGTTTCCTGGCTTTCCTACAGTATCTTAAAATAACAGCCCGGTATCAAGTCCCAGAGTCCTCCAGCTACTTTCCAGCTGGCCAAGGCAACAGCTCACAAGTGGGAAAAAAAAGCCTTCTCAGTGGATTTTGTTTCCTGTCACTGAACTGCCCACTTCCTGTAATCCTGGTTGAACATCATTATTAACAGAGACCTTTCAAAGGAGAGAGTCTATGAAGCAAAGTGGTTTCTTGAAGATTCTGCCAACATGACAATGTGTTCACAGCATCAGTGTGTTTTATCAGTATACTGGTGGTTGAAAGGAATTGATAGATTTATCTAGATGAAGAGAAATTTTTCTTGACTTAACATGCCTTTACTCCTTTTCATACATTTTTATATTTAAATGTGGATGGTTTGTATTGGAGTTGCTCTTGAAAATTGTCTGAAGTTTGGTGAATGACCCATAAAACTTGGCAATTCAGGTTTCAGTGTGAAAGAACTCTGTCTTATGAAATTTCAAATCTGCATTCATCAATTAGCAAATGTGTTCATTGACTTAGAAATGATATTTTCACAATGAACCTGTATTGTTCAATGACCAAATGTGATGATTGATTTGGAAGTGATATTCTCACAATGATTTCATTTACAGTGATGGATTTAAAGAGATTATGCCGTATGACCACTTCCAACCTCTCCCTCGGTGAGTTAAGTCTTCCTGTTTCCTTTGTAATTTACTATGAGTAGGTTTTGGAGAGACAGTTATTGTCCCCTCTATAGAGCTAAGAGTCAATAGACTCAATAAGAATAATCTTTCTAAGAACCCAATGGGGCACACTGCATCTGAAAGTGCAGCTCTCATTACCAGAGATGGCCAACATGTCTTCAATACCTGAGTATTACAGAAAGAGCAGAAACATGGTGGCTAATCCTAAATTTGAATCTTCTTTGATAGCTACATGGCTTGACTCCCTCCTTCCCATCCTCTCTCCTTCCCATCCTCTCTCTCTCCCTCCCATCCTCTTTCCTTCCTTCCCTCCCTCCCTCCCTCCCAGCCTCCCTTCCTCCCTCCTTTCCTTTCTTCCTCCTTCCTTCCCTTCCATCTCATAAAGCCCAGTTTGGTCTCAGAATCTCTAAGTAACTAAAGCTGGCCTTCAACTCTTGGTTCTCTTGCCTCTACCTCCCAAGTTCTGGGATTACAAGCGTATGCCACCATGCCCAGCTGGTATGGTTCTTTTTTGACTTTGACTTTCTGTGAGTCTCAGTAATATGATCCATTAGCGTCGTATTCACATTCATATTCACTTTAAGCATCCTTTCACATTCATTGTATATTCAAATTAACTTAATCTCATAATGGCCCCATGAAAGCTAATTAAGACAAGTATATTATTCCCATTTGACAGAAACCTCAGGCACAGAGGAGAATTCCTTTTGACTATGGACTGTGGCTATTAGGATTAAAGTCTTAGGAGTTTTCAGGCCTTGTGTCCTTTCAACTGAGCCATAACTTGATACCGTGAAGTCATCCTCTTTGAAACCCCTTGCAAACTTGAAACACACAGACATTCAACAAATAACGTATTTTTATTTGTTTGCTTTTGAGCTGGGAACATAATCCTTGGACGGCATGCTCAGTGTCCTGTGGAGGGGGGATTCAGAGACGGAGTTTCGTGTGTGTGGAAGAATCCATGCATGCAGAGATACTACAAGTAGAAGAGTGGAAATGCATGTATGCGCCCAAGCCCCAGGTCATGCAGACTTGCAACTTGTTTGATTGCCCGAAGTGGACTGCCATGGAGTGGTCTCAGGTGAGATTTGAGAACATGCCACTTCTATCACATCAGAGGTTTTAAGGAACGTATGCTATGTGCCTGACTGCACTGGATGTCATGGTGTATAAAAGCTATATGTAGGGGGCTGACGAGATGGTTCAGTGGATAAAGAACATGCCAGACAAGCAAGAAGACAAGAATTCAGATTCTCAGAACCCATGTAAAAAAGCCAGTCAGACTTGATGGCCATCTGTCATCCCGGCACCCAGGAGGCAGAGACAGGGTCCTGAAGCAAATGCCAGCTAGACTAGCCAGAATCAACAAGCCCTGGGTTCAGCAGGAGACCTTGCATCAATAAGTAATTTGGAGAATGATCAAGGAAGATGCTTGATGCCAACTTGTCACTTCCCCATGTATGCACATACATGTACATGTGTACCTGCACACACTCATGAGCCCACACACATGCAAACATGTATACAAACCATGTACAAACACATACTAAATAAATAAATATTGAATGCGAACATAGTCTCTACATCCAAAGGGCTCTGGAAGAAAAGACGACGGAAGAGGCCACAAGTGTCGACACAGGTATTATTTCTGTTATGCATGGTAGTCCTTCTGGAAGACCAGATGCTAAAGCAAACCTTCAGGAGGTTGCTGTTGCCACTGCGATGCTTTTGAAGATGTATAGAATTGGAGAAAGTCCAAGCTTAGAGTGAACGTAGCTGTGGCAGGCGGCCAAAAAGAGTTGGCCACGCAAATGCAGGAATGATGTGCAGTAACTCAAAAGGGACAGTTTATGTAAAAAGAGAACTGAACCCATGCTCCTAAGAGCTGGGACACGAAGGTGGAAATGCTGACATGACATTATAAATGTGTCCCGATCATTAAGTCATTGAGGTGTGATAGGCGAATAGTGGGAAAGACCAGAGCAAGTGGCTTATTGAGAAATCATGATAGGAGAAAGGTAAAGAGGAGAAAGGAAACATCACAGAGGTTTGACAAGACCTCATGTTGAATTTGCTTTCTAGGGAAATGAGAGAATTCGCATCCAGAACAAATGTAGTACATGTGGATTAGTCCAATGGGAACAGTGCAGGTGTCTGTATTTAATATGCTAATTTCAATCTCTTAATTTTTCTAAAAAATAAGGTACAATCAATTTAAGTTTCTGTATGATATATAAGCATTGATATAGCTATCCATCTATTTACTGTGTCAGTTGTCATGCTAGAAGTTAAGAAAGCTTGCCTCAACTCCCAGAGGTTAGAATCTAGCTACACAGCCATGCATGCAAACACTTGTAATATGGCTAGCCTGTGTGCTCATGAGCAATGTTATTCATGCATGTGGTGCTCCAGGGACACACAGAGAAGGGATTCACTCCACCCGGAGGGACCAAAAGTGTTTCAGGAAGGAGGCTGCCCTCGAAATGGAATCTGAAGATACATGTTGGCCGGATGTAGAGCCACTTTGTTTTTCCAAAATCCATAGACTAAATGTCACCCTGTAGAACTTATCAGTACTTTTAGGGCAGCAGACATCAGCTCTTTTTCTATTCACATTTCCCCTAAAAGAAGTTTGAAAAGTTACTCAGCCTTTCTTATATATTTAGGTTGACATATACATTTTAATCATCACTTTCATTGCAAAGAATATAATTTCCACTGTGTGGTGAATACTGATTTTAAAAGCAAAGTGCTATGGCATTTTTAAAATCCATACCCAATGGAATCTAAATGCCATGATCGTTTCTGATTTGCCATCTTTTATTAAACAGCAGGAATGAATTCTTTAATGATTTGGTTTGCCTATTTCTCCCCCTTGAATTCACCTTTCAGTTTACTCCCCTATACAGCTTTATCCTAAAATAATTTATTTTTATGTTTTAAAGACTCATTTTTAAGATTCATATTTTGGAGACTGGAGAGATGGCTCAGCAGTTAAGAGCGCTGGCTGCTTTTCCAGAGGACCCAGGTTCAGTTCTCCACACCCACGTGGAGGCTGACAACCATCCATAACTCTAGTTCCAGAGACTCTGACCCCCTCTTCTTGTCTTCACAGCCATTTCACATACAGGCACACTTATATACATGCAGGTGAAATAGCCATACACATAATAAATAAAAATAAATAAATAAAGGAGAAGAAGATGGATGAGGAAGAAGAGGAGGGAGAGAGTGATTTTCAAGTGAAGACTGGATCTTCCTTTTCAGATAAAAGGAAGGTACACACAACAGAGATCTGAAAGCAGAGTTTCAGGCCCCCATCAGACAAAGGAGGTTTCCAAGGGAATGCTGTGGTCTTTACGTACTGGAGAAGGAAGCTTAGCTAATAAGCACCTGTTCTATGGGGCATATGTGACAAACTATATGATAAAAATTGCAGAAGATGGGGGAGTGGGACTGACTAGGGCTGGGTTTGTTTTCTGCACCCTGCTTACAGCTTAGGACCTAAAGGACCTCGGTACTCAAGCAGTAAGCTAGATTGGGAAAGATAAATATTGTATGTTTCTTTCATATGTGGAACCTAGATATTATATATATATGTGTGTACCCACATGCATACACATACATGCATGTGTTTATAAAGTAGAAGGAGGACACTGTTTGGAAAAGGAAGGGAATTAGTGGGGTGCTGGGCAGGAGAGGCAATGGGAATGAATATGCCCAAAGTACATGATACACCTGAATAAAGATGTCTTCATGAAATCCTCTTCTTTGTGCAATGAACATACATTAGTAAAAATATTTAATGCCTAATAATTTTTAAAAGTATATATACATACATATGTACTATCAAGAATACACAGAGAAAAAGAATTCCTAGATTTTCACTTGAAAATACTCCATTTATAGGCAAGAGTAACTTCCAAATAGCAAACAGATATTAAAAATTCAATGAAGAAAATGCTAACAACACAAACTCCATGAAAAGGCAGAAAAAAATAGCACATTGTTTTAATGCCTTTAACTTCCTGACACACCTACAGTAATTGTGTGTGTGTGTGTGTGTGTGTGTGTGTGTGTGTATTTTGGCAGTGTTGTGTGTCTTCCTCTAACACTGTCCATCTTATTTTTAAAATAAAATTTATTTATTTTAATTTTATGTGTATGAATGTTTTGCCTTCATGTATGTAAGTGCACCCATGCATGCAGTGCTCTCAGAGGCCAGAAGAGAGTGTCGGATCCTTTGGGATTGGAGTTAAGGATGGGTATTAGCCACCATGTGGGTTCTGGGAACCAAACCTGGGTTCTCTGCAATAGCAACTGGTGCTGTTAATCATGAGTCATCTCTCCATCCCCTCCACCTTGTTTTTTGAGACAGGTTCTGTCATTGAACCTAGTGCTCACTACTTTGGCTAAACTGGCTGGCCAGGAAGGCCCAGGGATCCTCTTGTCTCTGCCTGGAATTACAAGTACATACTACTACACATGATTTTTACATAAATTATGGGGACCCAAACTCATGCTTGCACAATGAGCACTCTACCTACTGAGTCATCTCCCCAGTGTCATTATCAAGTGTCAAAGAGTATGGAATGAGTGAAGATATTTTGGTGTTGACTCTAGGTCTGTGTCTTCAGAATTTCTCATTTGCTTCATGGGAATTACTAGGCATGGGTGGACAGCCATGGCTAGTAAGTCCCACATCAGCTCTCAGATTCTTGCTCCTGTACACATGATTATTTACCTGCACCAATCTTTAGTTTTCGTATACTGTGTGGCTGAATAATCTCAGATGGTGTTTTCTTACGACAATAGCTCTTCAAGATCCCTGTAGACAGAATAGACAGTTTAACCCTCTAGCATGGTTGGTTGAAGCTAACTTTATTAGAAAAGTTTCTACTTCACAAATTGTTTGGGTAATGTCATATACAATTTTAAGTAAGATTGATAAAACTTGAGTCAGTTTTCTTTCATCTTTGATTTAGAGGACAGGAAGTTTTAGAACATTTGTTCTTCTTGACTCAGGTTTCCCCCCTTCTGTGAATTTCCCTGAGCCTTGAGAGGAGGGATGGGATATAGATGTCTCATTTAGGGCTAAACTCTGCAGTCTCTTATTCTCTGCATGTTGACCGGCTGTGGATCTCTGTGTTCATTGTCTTCTATTTCAAGAAGTAACTTCTCTGATGAGGGTTGAGAGATGCACTAATTATGGGTATAGCGATAAGTCGTTAGGGGACATTTTACTTCATTTTATCTTCTCAATGTATTGTTTTTGAATTTTTGTGCATTTCATACATACATCTTAATCATATTTAGGCTCCCCCTATCCACACCTCCCTATAGCACCCCCACCAGATTTCATGCATTATGTCATATATGTTAAGGCTTATTAGTCAAGTTGTCCTCAGTGCAAGTTCTTCCACTGGAGTCTAGTCAACCTAACTAGAGTCACTCCCTTAAAGAAAATCAACTCTCCCTCACCCAGCAGTGATCAGCTGCCAACAGCTCCTCAGCTAATGTTGGAACCCGCTGCCCAATTCCTCAGTTCTATGCTGGGATTTTGTCTGGTTTGAGTTTGCATGAGCCTTGCACATGCTGTCACCATTGCTGAAGTTCATAGAATGGAGATTTCCAAAGGTCTGGAAGACTCTGTTTCCTTGTGTTCATGCACCAACCCTGGCTCTTACAATCTTTCTGCCCCCTTTTCTGCAATAGTCTCAAGCCATGGGTGGGTGAGTTTTAATACAGGAGTCCTATCCAGGGACATGCACCCTGCAGTCTCTTATTCTCTACACTTTGACCAGTTGTGGCCTTCTGTATACACCTACCTCACTGTTGCATGAAGAAGTGTCATTGGTGAGATTTGAGGGATGTGTTAGCATTCTCTCTACCCCCTTGTTCTGCTATGTGCTATGAGCCTTAGGTATAGAGGTTCCACTGTAGATGTGTCACTTAAGGCTGGGCATCTCTCAGATACTTATTCTCTGTATGTGACCAGTTGTGGAACTCTATAATTATCTCCATACTTTATAAGCATCCATATTTAGCATATAGTAAAAATTACATTTGTCTAGGGATACGACAAAGGTAGGGTTTTCTATGAGATCTGTGACCTCTCCAGTCATGTGCATCTGGCTATGTTTATAGTGCCCCATGAGTTCCCTCCCACTGAGAGGGCTTTAAGTCCAGTTAAGTCCAATTAGCAGCTTATATAGTATCCTCCAGAACTAGGAGAGCTAGTCTTCAGGGAGGAGGCTTCCAAGTCAGTTCCATCTCCATTGCTCTGTGTCTGACGTATGTCCTGTCTTCAAAAATAAGGTCTTATCTTTAAGTTCTAGGAGGTAACCAAGAGCTGTGGCAACAGCCTGTGTTATTTGGGGAGTCTCTTAGACTACCCTGACCAACAGTTTGAAGGGAGTTTTCTCCTGTCTGCTATATAGCCTTCAGGTATACACATGCACTCCTGTTGAGGTATTGTATGTGTGTTTTTCAGTAGGTTTTTTTGAGCTGATGCATTTCCCTCTGGTTTTTCATACCACCTAAGCCTTATTTATCTCTCCAGCCTCTCTTTCCATGCCTAATCTCACTCTTCCGTCCCCAAAGTATCCCATTTCTTCCATTTTCCCCTTGATAATACCTGTCTATATTATCCACCCCCTCTTGAGCTAGGAGACATTTTTTTAAAAACCATTTCCATTTAGTAGACTATTAGTAGCAGATTCTCCTCTAGGGCTCATGACTTATCTAGACACAGGTTTTTGACCCCCATAATAGTGCTAGGTATGGATTTCATATCCTGGAGTGAACCTTAAATCCAATCAAAGGGTGACCTTTGAATTCAAAATTTAGAAGGAGGGTCTGTGAGGCAGAGCCCTGAAGCATAAGCATCTCAGAAAATCAGCCTCTATCCCTTTCTTTACATAATATGTATATAGAGGTATTTGTGTTTAATATTTATATAGATCAGTAGCTCACCTTTGTATGTTATAAAATCACGGCTTCATAGACCTTGTCAAGGAAAAGATCCTCAAGGCATCTCTTTCCCTTTTCTGAAGTGCACAGTGACATGTGGCCGAGGATTGCGCTACAGGGTGGTTCTGTGCATTAACCACCATGGGGAACACGTGGGAGGATGCAACCCACAAATGAAGCTGCACATCAAAGAGGAATGTGTCATCCCTATCCCATGCTATAAGCCAAAAGGTAAGTGTGGTGTATTTTCATTGAAATCAAATGGGGTTTTCCAGCTCACATTTGGTACTGGGCCACTCCCAGTTCTCCTTTTTTTCTTGTAAAAGTGGTTCAGCTGGCAATTTACAATAGATCTAGTTGAGGAAGTTGGACATAGATGACTAATAATCTGGAGGATAAACTGAGCTCCTGTTCATGTAGTTCATGTAGGGTGGGGTTCCTATCTGTCCAGACTTGTGCTGGCATTTCATGGAAGACATAAAAACACTAGTGAGAAGTCCCTGCTGTCAAGAAAAAAGAGACTATTTGGGCCTGGAAAGATTGCTTAGTGGTTACGAGCACTGGCTGCTCATGCAGAGGACCCAGGTTCAGTTCCCATGACCCATATGGTGGCTAACAACCATTTGTAACTCCACTTCCAGGGGGGTCTGGCACCCTCTTCTGGTATCTGCAGGCATTGCATGCATGGGTGGCACTCACATGCAGGCAAAACTTTCATATACATAAAATAAAAACTAATAGATCAAAAATATTTTAGAAAAGAAAAAGGAGGATATAGAGGAGGAGTAGGAAAAGGAGAGGGTGAAGAAGGGAAAGAATATCAAGGAAAGGAAGAGGTGGAGGAAGAGGAGGAAGAGTCAACAGCATGAGCAAAGACATAGTGGTTTTGATGTCTAGTATGGAAGAAGAGAAGGAGGGGGAGGAGGGGGGAGGAGGAGGGGGAGGAGGAGGAAAAGGAGGTAGTTTGCGTTCTAAGAATAGCTATTCCCATTCTTCTTTGTGTCTGCAGCATGTGGGTACCTCTCCACTGGAGGCCCCTTCTCGAAAAAGGAGCAATGTTGTTATCAAGTGTCACAGAGCATGCAGGGAGTGAAGATGTTCAGTGTCCCCTCTAGGTCTATATCTTCAGAATTTCTCATTTACTCCAGGTGAATTAGCAGGCATGGGCGGACAGCCATAGCTAGGATATTCCACACCAGCTCTTGGATATTTGCTCCTCCACACATGATTATTTACCTGCACCAATCCTTCTGACAAGTATTGCCCTTGCAATGGTAAAAGAGTGCCAGCGAAACAACTCAGTGGGTAAAGGTGCTTGCTGCCAAGCCTGACAAGTTGGGGTTGATCCTCAGAACCCACATGGTAGAAGCAGAGAACTATTAACTCCTGTAAACCATCTTTTGCTCACAGTGCATGCATGCTGTGTTAAGCGTGCACACACATACACAAATAAATAAATAAATAAATAAATAAATAAATAAATAAATAAATAAATGCAATAAAAGGAAGCAGGAAAAGATTGTTCTCATCTGTTTGCAAAGACTCTTTCTTGGTACTTCAGAGAGGATGGTAAAATTCTCCCTCGTGGATTCTCTGTTCCTTGTCTATAAAGGTAGTCCCACAGTTAATCATTCCAAAAATATGTTTAATAAAGTCCATCTTACAGAAAGAACACTGGTTGCTACATCAGACATGCAGTTATCATATGACCCCATCAGCAAAGCCCTTTTCTTCTTTCTCTGCGTTTGGGGTGCTTCCATAGGCATTTTCTTAGTGTCCAGATCTCCCTGAATCATCCCCAAGATATTTACTTCCTCACTTCACAACAAGATTATTTCTCTCCTGATATCAAGGAAGCTTCAAAGGACCAAAAGGGACACCAGCTGTCCCTTCCATGCCACGTGTAGTCCCATGGTAACAATGAAAATCGAGCAAGCCATAACACAGATGCTCGTCTTCCCACTCCAGTGGCCTCCAAGATATTTGCCTTCTCTATTAATTCTCCATTCAAAAGATGAGAATAGTTTGTTCCAAAGAAAATAATCTGATATTGTTGGAAGAAGAGTGTTAGTGTACAAAGAAGGGCTATTGCTTTATAAAAAGCATTCTTATGTTTAAATTTGAGACCACGTTCAACTATATCATGGAGATTATTTTAGTTGCATTTTTGTAATGTGTTAATTTTAAAAGTAGCATAAATTTTACTCATACCAGTAGCAAATGTACAATGCGTTTGAAAATATAACCTCAATGTTAATGAAACCTCCAGCTAATATCTAGCACATATCCAAGTCCTTAATGATTGATAGTAATCAAGGGCATTGTTTATGTTTCATCATTCTTAGAGAAAAGTCCAGTGGAAGCAAAATTACCTTGGCTGAAACAAGCACAAGAGCTGGAAGAGACCAGAATAGCAACAGAAGAACCAACGTGAGTCCAGGGCCTTTTATGGATGGAATCGGGGCATAGCCAGTTAACATGATATATGTAATCTTTGTACTCATTGGAGTTCAACGATACATTTAGTATCCAAATGACCTGGATTTACGGACTCCAGAGAGCCCGAGCTGGCTAAGGGTTTTCTTTATTTCACAATTCAGCAGTCCTGCTTTGGCGTGTGTGTGAGAAGCACGGAAAAGGGCTGTGTTCTCTAACTTAAAGCAGATCCCATGTTGTCTTACAGTGAAGGGCTCTGGGATAGTTCCTAGATGAGCATGCATGGTTTAACCAAAGACCATCACAGTATTGCCTGAATTAGCCAGTCATTCTGTAGGTAAATCATGGCTAATCTCTGTAGTACTAATGATGTTGAAACACAACAGGGTGGCCTGAGTGATTACAAGAAGTTCCAGCATTGATAAGACGTGGGGTGACAGAAAGGATGGTAGTACATTTATTAGAGCTAACAACCACCCCAGTGAATCATGTGACCTCACTCTTTAGTGTTTGTGTCTCATTATCCTTTGTATAAAAAGAGCGAGTTGGGCTTGACTCTCCAGGGTCCACTTCACTTCAGAAATCAGCAGCTGCTGTCTGCATGTGACATGATGAGGCCAGATTGTAATGAAGTCAACAGAAATATGGAATCAAGAGCAAATCAAAGAAGCATTCCTGAAGGAGGGAGGGAGGGAGGAAGGGATAGATGGAGGGAGGCAGACAAGAGAGAGAGAGAGAGAGAGAGAGAGAGAGAGAGAGAGAGCGCAAAAGAGGGGAATGAAGCAAAGAGGCTGTGAGATTTCTAGCCCGTGAGTCTATCAGAACAGCAGCACCAGTGACAGGCTAGGGTAATTGGACAGGACAGCTGATTCCACAGTGGACAGTTGAGTCTGTAGTGCTGACAAGCTAGCTACAAAGAGAGCAATTCACAGATGTGATAGGAAAGAGAATATCAACAGCCATCTGGCTCATTTCCCTGAGGCATCAACCCCAACCTGCTTCTTTTACAAATGGAACTGGATAAAGAAGTGAAGCCTTATGTAAGGGCCAATAGCTAGTGGTGGTGGTTCTTGGCTCCAAGACTCATAATGCTGTTAAGTCTATGTCCCATACCATAGCACCCTGGGACTCTTCCTTATAACCACTCAGTCCTGTCAGCAATGGGTGGAGTTCACTGCATTGAGGCACAGTTCATTGATGTGTTGAACAGCCCAAGTTGTTTCTAGTTCTATCCCCTCTTCTATTGACCAGGTATTTTCTCCTATTGAGTCAAAATGCATATGTCCTTCAAATTTCTGTTTTCTGAAACAGAAACAAACGTGTATGCTCTAACCCATGTGTGGTAAGTTTTCCTAACTTTGGAGAAAGCTGTCGCCATGGACCACAAGTGCTTTGTCTTTTCCAAGTTCATTATATTCTCTCTCTCTCTCTCTCTCTCTCTCTCTCTCTCTCTCTAGTTTATTATATTTTCTCTCTCTCTCTCTCTCTCTCTCTCTCTCTCTCTCATTTTTTTTCAAGACAGGGTCTCCCTATAGCCCCAGCTGTCCTGGAACTCACTACGTAGATCAGGCCAGCCTTGAACTCACAGAGATCTGCCTGCCTCTGCCTCCCAATTTTTTTTGCTTTATTTTTAATTTATGTGTATGCATGTATTGTGTGTATGTATGCAAGTACACCCATGTCGTGCAGTGCCCATGGAGATCAGAAGAGGGCATCAGATCTCCTGGAACTGGAGTTATAGACAGTTGTTAGTGGCCGTGTGAGTGCTGGGGTTTGAACTCAGGTCTTCTGCAAGACCCAGCCCCAACTTCATTATTCTTAACATCTCAACAGTTTTCACACGCTATTGTTTTCAGGGCCCTTACCAACCTCATTCCTTGCCCTGACCTGCAGGGCGGGAGACAGAGACTTGAACTCCCAGGGACCTGGAATGATGGGACAAGAGACACGAAGAATGACAGCAAGACAAAGAACTCTGATCAAGCTGCAAAAGTTTATTTTTCCATGGGGATTCTTATACGGGCTGAAGCGGGAAATTAGCTGGGGAAGGGGAAGGGAAGGTGTTGTCTCAACGGGTTAATGAATGTCCCTAGGATGAGGGGACCTGGCGCCATGGTCTGGTTGCAGGCTAAGGAAATTGGTTGTTGCTCAAACTTATCTTAACTCATTGGAAGGGTTGCTTATCTTAGGGGGCAGGGAGGACTGATCAGCAAGTTCTCCGGAGGATGCTTGCCCTGGGGGGCAGGGAGGGCTGCCAGGCAGCGTGGTCTCCCACAATCTGGGGTATAGTCTGTGTAGCAGCAGTGCTCCTGAGTGATTTTAGGCAGGATTTCCTAGAGAGAGGGCCGGGGTCTGCTGGTTGAACCTGTGGCAGAATGAATCACCCTGTGTCTGATCCCTACTCTGGGCACACAGCAATTCTGCTGCGCCTGACTACAGGGGAAGAACCAGCACCCAGACACACCTAGACCAGGACTCACAAACTCACAACCCCTGTGTTTTCCTGGGAGAAAGAAACCCTCTTCCTTCTTGACCCCTGGCCTCCTGACACAGACCCCTCCTAGCCCTTCAGAGAGTTGGAGAAGGATTTTTCATTTGCTGGATGTCCTCTTCCATCCTGGAAGCTTGCCTCCCTGGTCCTCACTGTGCCCCTTTGGCCTCGGAGGGACAGTTGTGCATGTATATGCCCTCAAGACCGCATGCTGGTGTGGGGCCCCTGCAGCTAGGAGAGAAGACACAGGAGACTCGGCCAAACGCAGCGCCTCACTCAAGGTTTCCTTTCAGAATGAAAATACCATTATGTTTTCTGTTCCTAACAGTCCCGCAGCAGAAGCAGCTGGCAGCCCCTCAGGGTAACATCACATCTCCCTTTCCCACACTACCAGTCATAGCAGAAACACACAGAAAACCATGTGATCCAAGAGCCCTCATGCTGCCTCCTCCTTCCTGGCACAGGGTGGGTGGGGTGATGCTCAGGCCCCCAGCACCAATGGGGACAGAGTAAAAGACTCTGTGGGTCTGGGGTCCAAAGGGAAGAAGCATGATTTATAAGATACCGTCCAGGGGAAGCATAGATCAACCTGCTCATTTCAAAGATAGCACTCCTGAAACCTAGGAGGAGGATGAGGGGGCCCAGACTCACCAGCAAGTTCACATATAACAGTATTTCCAAAATGCTTCTTAAACATCAAGGACTAATGGAGCATTGTGTGTGTGTGTGTGTGTGTGTGTGTGTGTGTGTGTGT